TTATTATTATTATTATTATTATTATTGTTCTTATTATTTTTATTAATAAAAAATAATACCAAAAATATTTTATATTTATTATTTATGATATTTAGTATTTTTTATTTCTTTTAAAGCAAAAAAGACCAAAAGTATTTTCATATTAAATCTAATTTATTTTCTTAAATTAAATCATCTTAGACTTATGTCTTATTTTAAATTTTCTTCTAAATAATTTAGAACTTAGGAATTTTATTTTATTTTCTATTTCACTTTAGCTTGGTTTAATTAAGATAAACCCTTTTATACAAAGAATCCAAACAAAAACAATTTTCTTTTCCTTGTATATAATCTCACATTCTTGTACGTTATTTATTCAAGTTCAATATGGTTATAATAGTGAATTAGGTTTTTATTTATTTGCTCCCCATTTGTAAATTTGTACCCTCATTCTCAAATTATGTAATAGCGTAGAATTTTATATTTCTGCAATTTATCGTTTTTTGATATAAATACTAGTAATTAGGGTTTGTATGACAAGACATAAAACCAACAAATAGAAAACCATAATCTCAAATATAGATGCATGAAATCAAAACACTTGCACACTTGCACCTCTAGGGTTAAGCCTCACTTGTTGCCTTAAATAAATAGTCAGGTTACGTAAACGTGGGATACTTTAGCAAAAACAATCAAATACAAGATCATAGTCCCTCGATGATCCTTCAAATGTTGTCTTCACAAATGATCTTAGACCCTTACGAAACTGCTAAAGTATTCTACAATGTTGCCTTCTATAACTATACGACGACTCATGCTTGTCCCTTCACATCCAGTGATAGGGCTTGTTATCAATCAATGGTAAGATAAAAATATATAAAGGAGGAGGAAAAGAACAAAGATTTTTTAAGTAGGTAGAATGTTCATAGTTGCTTCCTCACAACCATTTTCAAAACATCTTTCAAACACACCAACACTTTCAAGTGAAATATTTTCAAAAGTCAACACTTTGTATGTATTCTTATAGAGACGAGAATCATTACAAAGTTTACCTAAACAAATTCACTTTTCAAAAATACTTTCAAAAACATCACAAACACATTTCAAACAAAGCATTTCAAAGTGAGCTAGTAACTAAGAGCCCGTAGATAACTACGAATGAAAAGGGTGATAACACCTTCCCTTTTCATAACCTACCCCCGAACTCAAGAATATTCTCAAAAGGTTTTTCCTGTTCTTTTCACCATTTTCTTTATTGGATAAAAGAAAAATCGGTGGAGACTCTTGCTATCCACAACAATGCGATAAAATATAAAACACCCAAGTCAGTTCTCCCACCGTATTACAGAACTGGCGAATCTTCTGGGGAATAACTTAAAAGTGGGGTTACCTTAGAGACTAGATCATATTTAAATGCTTTCATTGTTTGACTTGTTTGCTTTATATTTTGGGTCCTTGTTTGGGTTTTTGTATTGATCCTCTACCCGGATCTGGGAACATCATTAGGTAAGTAGCAAAGATTGTGTAGACTATACAGCGTAGACTGATATGGTTCAAACGATAGCTATGTTAGTGTGACACATTTCGGGGTGCCGGTATCCCTTATGACGAATTAAGGAGAATACAGGACCGTCGTGTGGTGTCATGAAGCACTAACTGACCTTAGAACCTTTTGTTGAACAACTTGGCCATTAGGAAGTAGTGAGATACCCGGCTTTGGTGCAGTCCGAAGTTGGTTGATACTCGATACTACGCTCATTGATATCGGACTTTTGGGATATTTCGGTCCTGAAAATAAAGGCTCGTGCTGAAATAATGCCCAATGAAGAAAGATCAATGATATTGAGATTCCCTAGAACCCGATTACTTTTTAGGACATGTTAAACCAACTAAACTTCAAGAGGGTACTTACCTATGAAACCTCATGCAAGCCTAAACCTAAGGATTTGCTTTCTTTTCTTGTATATGTTTACTTGTACATAACATCATGACATCATACCATGGCATTTTGCACTAACTATTTCAAGGACTTTTGAGATTTACCTTTGTGTTGTTTTGTAGGACATGGCTTCCATGCGAAGAAATACCATCTGAATCAACCTTGTGAAAGTGCATCCTCAACTAAAGGAGTTAGCGTCAAGGGTTCCAAATGATTCTCCATTCACTAAGAAGTATGGTCGTCTCATCAATTTGGTTACCTCAAACTTTGAAGAGGACATGGTACATGTGTTTTTCAATTCTTTGATCCTAAACACCATTTCTTTACATTTCCTGACTACCAATTAGTTTCTACCATGGAGGAATTTTCTCAGTTATTGGGAGTGCCTATTCTTTATAAACTATCCTTCACCGGTATTGAAAAAGACCTGAGACCTGAGGAGATTGCTCGAGCTTTACATTTGCAAATTAGGAAACAAGAAGTGGTGTTAAGGATTTTCTAGCCAAGTTTATGTTTGAGAAGGCTCAACTCTTTTGGGATGCTCTGGATTTGCAAGCTTTTGAAGAGGTTTTGGATCTTTTAATCTATGGGATGGTACTATTTCTTAACCCGGACTAACTCATAGATGTGAACACGGTCAAAGTTTTTCTATCTCGTAACCCGGTGCCTACCTTACTTGAAGATATTTTGCACTCTCTTCACACTCGCACCATGAAGAGAAGGAGAATTCTTATGTGTTACACTCCTTTGTTTGCTAGGTGGTTTATTTCTCACCTTCCTCGATCTATTTTAAAGAATGAGCAAGGTATGTGATGGTCTAGTAGGTTGATGTCACTCTCGCATTCAGATATTCATTGGTGTTCTCGATCTTTGGAGGATGTTATCATTATTGACCGTTATGGGGAATTCCCTAATGTCCTCTCCTTGGAATTAAGGGGGATATCACTTATAATCCTTGCTTGGCTCTACGACAGTTTGGGTATGCTCGGAGGGATGGCCCTCGTGACGCATTTGTCCAAGGAATTATATTTGACTATGAGAACGATGTCCAAGGTTATCATCAAAGATTTGTACGAGCTTGGGGCATGGTGAACAAATTTGATAGCAAGACGTTGGGGCATAAGAACTCCATTTCTTTGGAGCCTTATCTCAAGTGGGTGTGAGCTCGTGCTCAAAACCTCATGATGCCGTATGAGGCCATCCTACCTATCATCATGGAACCTATTGTCGAAAGAGATGTTCCCTACACTATTCTTCATCCTAACATGCCTACTACTCTCGAGGAGTTGCAAAGATCGTGGATTCAACTCAAAGAGGAGCGAGACACCTTTGAAACTCAATTCTATGCAAGCGAGAAGAAGGTTTTGGAGCTCACGAGACAACTTCATGAAGAGCGAAGTTTGAACGCCTACATTACACCAAAGAGGATGCACTCATGAGAAACTTGAATCTTTTTTGTTTTTAGGAGTTTATTTTATTTTTGCTTCTTCCATTATAAGCCCAAGATGCATTTTTGTAAACCGTTTGAACTTATTAATACAATTAATGTTTGTTCCTTCTTTGTTTAAACAAATTTAAATCTTAAAGGTCCTTGAAAACATTTGCGTTCACGTTACATGCATCATAACATAATCAGGTTTTCCGACACAGATTTCCTAATCTTTCTACTGTTTATTTCAGTAAGATGGATCTCGAACAGATCGTGAAAGACTTGCAGACACAAAATTCTTAATTTCAAGAAACTTTGCTCAACTTGGCCAAAGGGAAACAAGAATTGATGTCACCTCTGGTTGCAAAGAAGAAGACCAAGAAGAAGGCTTTGATCAACATGGGAAAGAGGTTCAAGGGCCCCGTTCGACAAGTTCAAGAGGTAGAAGACTCCTCCTCTGAGGATGAGAATCAGGATGAAGATGCAAGGAGCACCCGTGTTGGGGGTGGTAACAATCTAATCTCTGAGGATGAGGACTATTTTGACGAACAATATTCACCGACTGAATACAAGTATAAGCAACTGGAGGACATATTGAAGGCTATGAAAATTCAAGTTGTGCCTGGCCTAGATTTTGGTGATTTGGGTTTGGTTCATGGGGTAGCAATCCCTCACAAATTCAAGATTCCACTTTTTGCCAAGTACGATGGCGTTTTGTGCCCAAAGCTTCACTTGAGATCTTACGTCCGTAAAATTCAACTGCATACTACTGATAAGAAGTTATGGGTGCACTTCTTTCAAGAGAGTTTGTTTGAGACTCAATTGGAGTGATTTTACCAGTTAGAGGACTCCAATGTTCATATCTGGGAGGACTTGGCCACAGCTTTCTATCGTCAATATCAGTACAATATCGATATGGCGTCAACTAGAGTGCAGTTACAAGGAATGACCATGGATTCCAATGAAGACTTCAAAGAATACGCACAGAAATGGAGAGACCTGACTGACAGGGTGCAACTACCATTGACTGACAGGGAATGATATACGGGTACATTGTTCGTTTGAGTTGGCACGGTGTCAGTGAAACGGTTGAACAAATTAATTCCATCTTGGCCATGAAAACCTTTTGTTTTGTAACTTTGCCTCTGTATGTTATGATATTCAGAAGGTGCAGTGTTCATTAAATTTGATATATCCAGTAGGGGGTAGTTCTGTTCTCTTCAACACACGTATCATCGTGGCAGAAGGAAGAGTTTGGGGTGTGCACATTGTTTTCCTTGTTGCAACCCGAATGTGAAGATTGTCCTTGTAAATTCAATTGCCTCCTCTTCTTAATGGCAACCGAAGAAGGAGGACCAATGATAGGACCCTCACCATTCATATTCATTTATCAAGTTAATCTGAATTTGAGTGTCATAAGTTTTACGGGTATCTTCTTTGTGAGAACAATATAGAAGGTAATAGAATAATATAATGCAGTTCTAATTCATTATAAGGTATATGTTATTCAGTTCTTTTTACCTTCAATAATCATTGGGATGCAAGGACTATGAAGAGAGTACATTTTTAAGGTAAGTTCTCCTTAGAAAACAAACTCATCATGATGTGAATAGCTGTTACTGAGAAGTACTAATTGTAGTGTATCAAAAAATGCTAATACTTAATCACCTGAAAAAACAAACAAATACATACATAAAATGGGCCATTAAAGTGATTTCATAGTCCCAGAAATAATGATAATTGGTTTATGTGTCCCAAAAAGTAGGATAGCGTGAAATAAGGCTAGAGCTAGACAGATATACAACAATAAATTTTAATGTCTCATTGAATTATATCATTAATGAGTTCCAATAGTTACTAAAAAATTCAATACCATTAAGTAGTGCATATAATCAAACCAGCAAATTTGTATATACCAGTGTTGTCTATTTTGATAAACTGTGTGGCAGACAATTCAATTCTTGGAAGATTTGACGGCACATAGAATTTATAGAGTGGCTATAGTTCATTTCAGACTATATGTACAAAGAAGGGAAGAATATACAGATAGCGCTGTTGTGTAAAGCTGTTTCAATGAATTTAATTGAATTGAACTTACTTAGAGAATAAAAGAAATATATCAATAAATGTTGTCCTTACATTTTGTTGAGTCAGAAACATCTTGAACTTATGCCAACAATGGTAAATTCACAAAGTAATACAGCAAAAATGTTGACCCCGAATCTTTTTGTTTATCAAATTTTCTCAAAACTTTGTAGAATAGGGGTTGGCATTCAATGTAAGGTCTTATACAGTGTTAAGGAAAGTGTATAGGGCCATAATTTATACCTTTTTTAAGGTTACACAACATGACTATCTTTAAGAATTACATGAACAAAAAACAGTAAAAACGTTGAATAACAATAACATTAAAAGGAATAATGTGATTTAGTTAATTTGATAAATCATTGAATAACAATAACATTAATCCAGACCAGTAAATTATCCTTACAGTTTTGAGTTCTTTGATTCCTTTCAAAGGAAGCACAGCAATTTTATCCTGGAATTTTTTATAAGGTGTTTGGTGAGAGATTCCAGAGTTTTGGAACCACACTTGAGATTGAGAACCAAGCTGTGGGGTCCTAATAGGCAATGAGTCCTTTGGGATGCTGTTAGAATGAATAACAATTATTAGATGAAAACATCTTAAGGAATTAACCACAAAGTGAGAAGTAATAAGGAATGATGGATTAAAATTCACCCATTCAATAAGTCTTTTATTGGTATCAAATCATCATTGGTATACAACTTAGTAATATTGTATGTGTTTGAAACAAACAATGGATATTTTTCTCCTACATAAAACAAATTAAGTTTCAGTTATGTTAGACTTGTATTTTCTTTCATATAAATAAGGATACAATATATTACAAATAAGTAATAGTGTTTAATATGAATAGGGAAGTATATGAAACTTTCTTTTTGATTTTTGCATACTGCATGAACAACACAGTTGGAGAGGATGCATCAGTTTTATTTTGATTGAATTTGATAAATTGTGCAGCATATGATTCCCATAGAGTAATTATATTGTTATTGCGAAGTTAGAAACAGAGTTCAGGAAACATAAAAGTGTCCATGAAGTGGAATTACGTAACTACATAGCAAACATACCACAAGTCTTTCAGGACAATGTTGAGTTGCTGCTTTTTTTTCACCAGATTGCATATGTGTGTGATAGAAGGAATAGAAAGCATAGAAGAACATTTCATTTATGTTATTGTTGTGTAAAAGTTGGTTACAGAAGTTGCACACAGTTGCATTTATAGGACAACTTGTGTGACCTGCTACAGCAGGTAAGCTACTACACTAGACTTGACAAATGTCAGTCACAAACAAAGCCAAAACAGAACTAATACTTCTATGCACATCAACAATTTGATCCACACCAGAAATATGAGAAACTCGAATCTGCTTGGCAATAACTCTTTCTCTCACAAAGAAGAGGTCAATTTCCATATGTTTTGTCCTGGAATGCATAATGGGATTGTGAGCCAGCATCACTAGACTGATTGTCACACAAAACCACAGGCTGTTTAGCAGGAACACAGAGTTCAGCTAACAAGGTTTGAAGCCAGAGAAGGTCAGTTGTGGCCTGAGTTAGACTCCTGTATTCTGCTTCTGTACTGGACCTAGCAACCACATGTTGCTTCTTAGACCACCAGGATACTAAATTTCCTCCAAAGTAGATGGTTGCACCAGATATACTGCTCCTATCACCAGGGTCTGAAGTCCAATCAGCATCACAGAAAACTTGAAGGGAAGAAACTTTAGATGGAACATGAGGGAATAGATGAAGACCGTACTGAATAGTGCCCTTGAGATATCTGAGAATTCTTTTGACAGCAACCCAGTGCGTTTCCAAAGGGTGAGACATGAACTGGAAAACTTTATTGACAGCATAGGCAATGTCAGGTCTTGTAATGGTTGCATATTGGAGAGTCCTAACCACAGACCTGTACATGTATGGATCAATAAAAGCAGGGGAGCCAAGTTTAGTTAGCTTGCAGGAGGACTGCATAGGAGTGGCAACAGGGGCAGAATCAGCCATGTGAGTTATGTGCAATAAATTCCTAACATACTTAGTTTGAGTGAGGAGTAGGGATCCCTGAACAACAGGTTTTATTTCAATCCCAAGAAAATAATCCAAATCTCCCAGGTGTTTGAGAGAAAATCAGAATTGAGTTTATGAATAATAGATTGGAGTAGGATAGTGTTATTGTTGGTGATGATAATGTCATCCATATACACAAGTAAATAAACAGTGTTACCATTGGCAGCAAAGATGAACAAGGAAGGATCACACTTGTTGGGTTTGAAATGCAGCCTAAGAAGGGCCTCTTGCAACCTTTCAAACCACTTCCTATGAGCCAGCTTCAAGCCATAGAGGGCTTTGTGCAACTTGCACACAAGGGAGGAATCTGAGTTAACAAAACCAGGAGGTTGGTCCATATAGACCTCTTCATGAAGAAGCCCATTCATAAATGCAAGAGTTTATTTCTCCAAATTGGTGAAGTCTTCCAATAAGAACTCTTCCCCTCGGCAAAATCATTCTCAAACAGAAGTCGAAGATCCTCGGCAGAGAAAGGGAATCGCCAATAAAACTATCTCCATTCACTATCTCCAGCAGAAATTGAAGAATCACTTTCTTCACTCACCAACAACAGTCCAGGATTCAACTTCCCGGTACTCTTCAGCAACGGTCAGGGATTTATTTTCCCAGACAAAGATATTGCGCAACAACATTATATATTCATACATCATGGCATGTGCATACAAATACATATATCATAATCTCATTTATTTTGGGATCATCATGCAATTCATACATCATGACATCGCATGAAACTGATTTTATCTTTTCAGGTTAAATTAGCAAGCAGACAAATACTATCAACTTTTACAGCAGGTCAAAGATTAATGCCTGAAACCAGACGGGCAAACTATCTATGTGATCAGTAAAACAAGTTCCAGATTAATACCTGTAACAAGCCAAGAGAACTATCTGTGGACGATCGACTGTGGATTAATACATATAACAAGTCAGGAGAACTATCTACATGAAGAGATTAAAGATTAATACTTGTAACAAACCAGGAAAACTATCTTTCTTTCTCAGGTCAGAGATTAATACCTGAAACCATCCAGGATAACTATTTCAACGACCGACAATTTTCAAGTTCCAAATTAATACCTGTAACAAGCCAGGACAACTATTTCAACGACCGACAATTTTCAAGTTCCAAACTAATACCTGTAACAAGCCAGGACAACTATTTGTGGACGATCGATTGTAGATTAATATCTATAATAAGCCAAGATAACTATCTACATGAAGAGGTTGAATATTAATACTTGTAACAAGCCAGGAAAACTATTTTTATTTCTTAAGTCAGAGATTAATATCTGAAACAAGACAAGACAACTATCTCAACGACCAAATAAAAACATATTTACAGATTAATACCCATAACAAGACAGGACAACTATCTGCAAACAACTGATTTGTAGATTAACTCATAGAACCAGACATGAAAACTATCTACACGACCAGACGAAGCAATTTTATACGGGTTCCTTCTCATATATCTCCGGGTGCAGACTAACACGAACTCATCCTGAAGCAGCCCTACACAGGCTCTTTCTAATACATTTTCAGGTAACGACTAATTCCATTACCCCCAGCAAAACACTGGAAACCTGGACTTCAACCAGAATACAAAAAATGGTCATCTCTCCAGAGATAACTCTTTAGTAGAGCCTTGGACAACTGAAGTTCCTAGACTCTATTCCACAGAGTTTTCCTCAAACAGGAGAAAAACAGAAACTCATATTCCCCAACAGACTCCTCCTCAGACAGTAGCAACAGGAATCCCCAAATGGACCATGTGTGAAATCAGCATCTACTTTGGAAGGCATCTTTAAACCCATCTCCGACGACTCTCAGTCATCTTTTCCAAATGGCATCTGTAAGCCTATTCCCTACATCATTAACCATCATTGTTACTTCATACGAGTGCAAATTTCTGGGCACTCTAGTGTTCAATCATCTTCCACCTTCAGATCATGAAAGGCAGACAAGTCAATCTACATCTTCAGGTTTAAGAAGATTGAACAGAGGCAGCTGTTGTACCCCAAAATTTTCCCTCTCATGTTTTCCAAGATTTTTTCTTATATGGGTGGTCACAAGCATTTGATTAAAGGAAAAAATAATTTTTTTTGAAGATAAACAAGGTGTCTTTCGATTGATATTTTGATAGGATTCAATTGAGCGCCTAACCTCCTCGAAGCTTGCCTCAAATTTCCAAGCTTCGATTAAAGCCCTGGCCTTCTGCTTGTTTGTTGTATACAAAGCTTTGACTGGGCATGTGTTTCCTTTGAAACATCCTCCTTCGATCCAAAGGGGAAGGGCCTCTTGTTAGTTCTCCTTCGATTGCACCTTTGACTTTGCATAATTGTTTGATTCACAAATGCAATGGCTACCTGCATGCAAGCTTGATTCCTGCTTCGTTTGGGCGTTTGGTTTTCTTTAGAGCAAGCTTAATTCTTGCTTCGATTGGACATTTGATTTCTTTGGAGCAAGTTTGATTCCTACAGCACACTAGGCAAACACTCCTTTTGTGCGTGCCTTCAGCACACAAGGCAAGAACCCCCTGCAAGTTTGCTTCGATTCGCCAGCAGTGGATTCCTGCATGCCAGCTTCGTTCAGGGAAAAAGGCTTCTTCATGCATGCTTTCGATCCAAGGCAAAGTCTACTTTTAACTGGCCTTCGATTCACAATGTTCCACTGAGCAAAAGGCCCCTCAGCTTGTCACCAGCACATGTATGCCTCTTCACGCTTGCCTTTGTTTCACAAGGCAAAGACCCATCAGCATGCCTTCAACTCACAAGGCAAAAGGCATCAGACTTGCCTTCGATCCACAAGGCCAAGGCCCCTTCAACTTGCCTCTGTGTTTGCTTTCGACCCACAAGAAAATTATTTCCTCTGGGCTTGCCTCTAGTGCATAAGGCAATGGTTTCCCTTCATGCCAGCGCCCATAAAGTAGTGGTTTTCTTTCATATGTGCTTCGATTCACTAAGCAGTTGGTTTTCCTCGTGCTAGCCTTGACTCCACCCCCAAAATATTCAACACACAGTGTTCCACATTTTGACACCTAGTACTGGCACATTCGAAGGGCAAGCACATGGTCCAGTCGAAGGACATATATTTACCCCATTTGAAATATATGTATTGATGGATTTAAAGGGGCATACATGGGTGTTCCATTTGAAGGACTTACTTTGTTGGCCTATTTGAAGGAATGGCAAGTGACGTATACAAATGATGCATGAGTTCCCTTAAGAGAGCATGCACATTGGTTCAAAACGAAGGATATTGCTAGCCAAAACGAAAGAAAAATATTCAAAGAGGCCTGTTGGCTCAAAAGTCAACATACTTTTAGTTGCAAGTCAACATGCACAAGCACATTCATGCCAAAAGAAGCTTCGATTGGCCAAGAAAGTGTCTTCGTTTGGGCTAGTTGAATAGGGGTTCAAACGAAGAAGCCCCTGTGATGAGAACATGAGCCAGTCGAAAGGTACACAAATGGTCCATTCGAAGAGACAACCAAAGGCCCATTCGAAGGGAATACAAATGGTCCACTCTAAGGACTCATTCGAAGGCTATACAAGATTTCCAATCGAAGGGCAGGAATTGGAGGTATTCGAAGGAGCCAAAATATCCACATACATTCAAATTTCAAAAAGGACAAGATCCCATGTTTTTTTGCCACAATTACAATATTTCGTTTATGGCTCTTAAGGAACAAAACCAAGGTTGTTTAAACCATTTCCTCCTTGTCCCCTCCTTTATACTCTATATAAGCAGCATACTTGCAAGCCAAATATATGCTTACACGCCTATACAGCCTAGAGAGAACACTGCCAAATTGCAAAAGAAAAATTCTTAAAGTTGTCCAAATTGAAACATCTGATCCAGCCAAATTCAGATCTTTCCAAGCAGTCTATCAACATCCCAAAGTTCCCAGGAGCACGTACCACCTTCCATTCAGTCTGTCTCATGCCCAGAAGTGCCCCGTCGAACCTCACTTTTTGGTAAATTTCGTGACTTTCAAATTTTAAAATCATGCCATATAAATCTTTCTTAAGCTTATATTCATGTTATTAATGATGCTTGCTGATTTTATAACGTGTTTCATGAGAGAAATAATGC